TTTCCTCCTATTGTGTTTTGGTCATTGTTTATATATTTTGGATATAAATCCTTTCTCACATAACGTGCTTTTTAAATGTCTTCTTCAGCCTATGGCTTGTCTTTATTCTTCTAAGAGCATCTTTTAAATGGTTTTTAATTTTAATGAAGTCCAATTTATCAATTTTTCTTTTTATGGGATGTATCAAGGAAATCTGCCTAATTCAAAGTGACAAAGGTTTTCTATTTTCTTCTAGAAGTTTTATAGTTTTAGGTTTTATACTTAGATCTGTGGTCTACTTTGAGTTAATTTTTGTGATGATATGGGGTGTGGATCCAAGTTCACTTTTGAATATGGATGTCCAGTTGTTCCAGTACCTTTTGTAGGAACAATTATCTTTTTCTTCCCTGAATTGCCTATTGAGATGATCATAGAGTTTTTCTTTTATAGTTTTCTAGAATGGTTAGTTGCATTGATTTTGTTTTAATACTAAGGCAGTTAAATTTTTGTTATAAGGTCATGCTGTATTATCCTTTTATATCTTTGTGAATTTGAGTTGCTAATATTTTATTTAGAACTAGCGGCCCAGTGCATGGATTCATGCACCGGTGGGGTCCCTCAGCCTGGCCTGCGCCCTCTCGCAATTCGGGATCCCTTGGGGGATGTCAGACTGCTGGTTTAGGCCTGATCCTCAGCTAAACCCGGCCCGCTGTGCCTGCCACCGCCACTCAGTAGTGTTGCCGCGGAGTCAGGAGAGGCTCGCGCCACTGTAGCTGCACTTACCATCTGTGAGCCTGGCAGCTGGTGCCCATTGGTAAGCTGAGCTGCACTCCCACTGTGGGAGCGCACTGACCACCACGGGGCAGATCCTGCATTGCACATCTGCCCCCTGGTGGTCAGTGTGCATCATAGTGACTGGTCGACTGGTCGTTTGGTCACTTAGACTTTTATAGATATACTAGAGACCTGGTGCACAAAAATTTGTGCACTCGGTGGGGAGGGGGGTCCCTCAGCCCAGCCTGTGCCCTCTCACAGTCTGGGACCCTTCGGGAGATAACGACCTGCTGGCAGAGGGCAGGCCCAATCCTTAGGTGCAGCCCCTGGTCAGGCTCAGAGCAGGGCCGATTGGGGAGTTGGGGCGCCGCCCCCTGTCATGCACAGAGCAGGGTGGATCGGGAGGTTGCGATGCCACCCTCAGTCACGCTCAGGGTAGGGCCGATTGGGGGGTTGGGGCACCGCCCCCTGTCACACTCAAGGCAGGGTCGATGGGGAGGTCGCAGCGCCACCCCCTGTCACGCACAGAGCAGGGCCAATCGGGGTTGGGGCTCTGCCCCCTGTAACACACAGAGCAGGGCCCATCAGGGGGGTTGGGGCTCCATACCCTGTCATGCACAGAGCAGGGTCGATCAGGGGGTTGGGGAGCTCCTCCCTGTCACGCACAGAGCAGGGCGGATCAGGGAGTTGGGGTGCCACCCTCTATACCCACAGAGCAGAGCCGATCAGGGGGTTGGGGCGCTGCCACTGTCACACTCAGGGCAGGGCCAATGGGGAGGTTATGGCTCTACCCCATCACACACAGAGCAGGGCCCGTGGGGAGGGGGGGTTTGGGCGCCGCCACTCTCACACTCAGGGCAGGGCTGATGGGGAGGTTATGGCTCTACCCTGTCACACTCAGAGCAAGGGCCTGGAGAGGGGGGGGGGGTTTGAGGCGCCGCACCCTGTCACACACAGAGCCTCAGGGCGATCAGGGGGTTTGGGTGCTGCCCCCTGTCACACTGATCCCGGTGCCGGGAGGCCTCTCAGCTCCTCTGATCCCAGTGCTGGGAGGCATATTACCCTTTTACTATATAGGATAGAGGCCTGGTGCACGGGTGGGGGCTGGCTGGTTTTCCCTGAAGGGTGTCTTGGATCAGGATGGGGGTCCCCATTGGGGTGCCTGGCCAGCCTGGGTGAGGGGATGATGGCTGTTTGCAGCTGGTCATACACCCTTCGGGGGGGGGGGTTCCCACTGGGGTGCCTGGCCAGTCTGGGTGAGGGGCTGAGGGCTGTTTTCAGGCTGGCGGGTGACTGAAGCTCCCAACTGCTCCTTTTTTTTATTTTTATTTATTTATTTATTCTGGGCCAGCTTTAGCTCTGGCTCCAGCTCTGAGGCCTCTGCTGCTGAAAGTGGGTATCTGGTTTGTTTGGGTTCTATAGTCGAAACACTGTATCAACTCCAGCTCTGAGATCCCGGTTGGCTGAAAGCAGGTTTCTGGGGTTTTGTTTAGCTTCTATATTTGTAACTATAGGCCGGCAAGGCAGGCAGGGAACGTTGGTTTCCTCCGTCACTGAAGCAAGCAAGCCTCATGTTAGCTTCAAGCGGCCTGGCTGCCGGCCGCCATCTTGGCTGGCAGTTAATTTGCATATCTCGCTGATTAGCCAATGGGAAGGGTAGCGGAAGTACGCTAATTACCATGTTTCTTTTATTAGATAGGATATAGTTTCATCTATATTCATTATATTGATCTGTAGTTTTATTTGTATGTCTTTAATTTGGAACTAAGGTAATTCTTATTTCAAAGGATGGGTTAGAAAGTATTCCCTCTCACATTTTCTGGAAGAATTTGTATATAATTGGTGTTCTTTCTTTTTTGTTTCCTAGAATTCCCCAGTGAGGTTATCTGGGCTTAGAGTTTTCTTACTGGCAAATTTTAAAGTACAAATTGAGTTTCTCAAATAGATGTGGGAATACTTGGGAACTTTGGGAATTTGTGTCTTTCAAGACATTTGTCTATTTCATCTAAGTTGTTGAATTTGTGTAAATTAAAACTGTTCATAATATTATCTTATTTTTTAATACCTTTAAAGGCTATATCAATTCTGCAACTACCTCTCTTATTCCTAACATTGATAATTTGTGATTTCATTATGTTATCTCCTAGTCATTCTGGCTAGATTTATCAATTTCATTGATTATCTCAAAGAACTGACTGAGTTCATTCATTTTCTGTCTTGTTTTTATTTTCTATTTTACTTATTTCTGCTGTAATTTTTATTTATTTATTTTTCTGTTCTATTTATTTGGGGCTTACTTTACTCTTTTTTTTCTGGCTGAGATGAAAAATGAAGTAATTGATATAAAACCTTTCTTCTTTTCTAATATAGATATTTAGCAGTAAACATTGATTCTCAAATACTGCTTTACTAACATTCCTCAAATTCTGATATGTGGTGTAGTGCACTTAGTTCAAAATATTTCCTAATTTTATCTTCGTTGGGGTTTTTCAGATATATTTCTGTTACTGATTTCTAATTCCATTTTTATTGTAATCAGAGCAATACCCTCTATAAATGGAGCCCTTTTAAATTTATTGAGATTTGTTTCATGCCCCAGAATATGGTTGATAATGTTCCATGTGCCCTGGGAAAGAATGCATTTGGGTGGAGTGTCATTTAGGTAAAGGATGAACCAAAGACGAAGTTGGTTGATCGCTTTGTTCAAATCTTCTGTATTTTAACTGATTTTCTGCCTCCTTGTCCTATCAGTTATTGAGACAGAGAGGTATTTAAATCTTGGCTATAGTTGTAGATTTGTCTGTTTCTCCTTATAGTCTCATCAGTTTGCTTCATGTACTTTGAAGCTCCTTTTATTAGACCCATTAACATTTAGAATTCTTATGTCTTATTGATTAATTGACCTCTTTATCAATATGAAATGATCTTTGTTCCTGGTATTTTTCTTGGCTTTTGAATATGTTTTCATTTTGTGTGTGTGTGTGTATCTTTGATGTTTTTTTTTAAGCATTTGAAGAGGAATTTCTGGATTATGTGATTTAAATATTTTAAAGGTTCTTAACATTTTGCCAGATTGCCCTCCAGAAACTGTACAGATTTATACTTGTTCTCAAAGTGTTTATAGAGTTCAGAGATCTGGTCTTTTAAAATTTTAGATTTGTATAATGGTAGAACTGTAGCATTGTGTTGACCATAGGATAAAATATATGGCCATTTCTGTAATCTCTTTTTGTAGAAAATTAAAATGGTGTGGGTGTTTTTTACTATTTATAATTTATTTTTTTATATTTTATTGATTTTTTACAGAGAGGAAGGGAGAGGGATAGAGAGTTAGAAACATCGATGAGAGAGAAACATCGATCAGCTGCCTCCTGCACACCCCCTACTGGGGATGTGCCCGCAACCAAGGTACATGCCTTTGACTGGAATCGAACCTGGGACCCTTCAGTCCGCAGTCTGCTGTTCTGTCCACTGAACCAAACCAGTTAGGGCCATAATTTATTTTTAAAATATATGTTTTTATTGATTTTAGAGAAAGAGGAAGGGAGAAGAGGGACAGGGAGATAGAAACATTGATGACAGAGAAACATTGATCAGCTGCCTCGTGCACACCCCCTACTGGGGATTGAGTCCACAACCCGGGCATGTGCCCTAACCAATCCAGTGACCTCTTGGTTCAGCCACTGAGCCACACCGGCCGGGCTGGCGTGGATATTTTCAAGTTGTCCTCAATTTCACTTCTTACCTATGTTTTATTGTTTTCATAGGCATAAACCAAAAATGGATATCATATACTTATAATAGGGATATGTAAGAGGAAAGGATTGATTTCTTATCTTTTCTATATTTTTGTGGCATTTTCAATTAATATATTAGAGATGATTTGCAAAATTATGTGCCTATTTGATTGAATAGAAGGTTTGACTTTAAGTTAATGAGTGGAAGGAAGTTTTATATATAAAATCTTGTAAAGGTACTAACCAAGATTAAATATAAAATACCATGTGCTTAGGTCTGATAGGAATTTGTGGGTGCTTAACTTTGATAGTGCCCGGTGCAGATAGCCCTTAATAAAATAATCTGTTTGATATATGTATTTTTTGATATGTAAAAGTATTCCCTAGGGAAGTCCTACGCATTACTAAGAAATACACAACATATTTAATATCCTTTATTAAAGAATGGACACAAAGAGCAGTGACCAATGTGGATTTGTTTGGTAATCCTATGCTGTCCTTTTCACACAGGAGTCTTCCGGAGCCTCTTATGACCTATGAGTTACATGGGGATTTCATTGTTCCAGCCAGTAAGTATTGCGTAGAGGTGCAAAATACAGTGTTGTGGTTGGTAGTGTGTATAAACTGTAATTTCCACATGAACATTGAACTTCATTACTGTAATTTGAATTTAAAAATAGAAATCACTTTTGAAGATCTTGGGTTTCTTTTCTCTTTTAAAAGGTGAAAAAAAGGGACAATAAATAAATTCATTCATTCACATGTACTCATTGTCTACTGTGCCCTAGTCCTTTGCAGATACTGGGTAAGTAGAGCCATGAAAGAATTTCTGCCCCAGGAATCAATTTTCTAGCAAATATTGGTGCATACACACCTCCCACTATAGGTAAAATATATAATAATGGCATGAGCACAATGCTATGGGAACATGGATGTATTTAACTTGTAGAAGGTTAGGGAGATGAGCAGATATGGAGAGATTAGTAGTTTGGAAATGGCTTCATTTAGATATTTAGATGGAAATTAAAGGCAGAAAAAATACTTTGAGATAATGCCAGAAGCCCACACAATATTTGACAGAGAATGAATTATATGTGATAAAATGTTAAATGAAAAAGGCCCATAGTTGGTAGAATTTTAATTTGTGATGAAATTTTGGGTGAGTTATACTTATTTGAAGTGTTCTTGTTTTCTGTTTTATTATCGTACACCTGTTTTTATATTCGACACATAGTGTTCAATCATTACAGTCTTCTGAAATACACTGGTGTTAGGTATTTAATAGTTAAGGAAATGAAGGTGGAGAGATGTTAAGTAATTTGCCAGATTATAGGGATCTTTAAATTCAAAGCCCTGGCTCCACTAGCTAAAACCTGCAGTTTGGTTTTCACAGGTGCACCGACAGTAGCTATAATTGTATTTTCATTTACTTTTTTTTTCCCCCCTTGGATGTATTTCATAATTCAATCTGCTGTTGGAAAACGTCGAGCAGTCCCTTTGGGGCCTGTGTCACTGCTGCCCGAACATTGCTTTAAATGTTGCCTTTTTGTGAGTTCTTTGCTCAGACCCACGTGAAGGTTCCTAGTATGTTGCAGGAAGAAGCCATGTATAAGCCTGGTTAGAATATCCATGGAAAATAGGCTTTCAGTAATGGGGGAAAGTATGGTTCTATTCACTTTTGTTTTCATGTGGGAAGAGGATTTTTTTTAAAGAGAATTTGTGTGATCAAGGAAGTGGGGGAAAGTTTTCTTGGCAGAAACTCAAGCAAATGCTTAGTTGTTTTGATTTCTTCCCTGTGGCATTTTTGGCACACAGGGGAAAGAGAAATTAAACTCCACTTGGAGGACCATTGTTTCATGTTGTGCGCCTTGGGGACTGGAAAAAGCAGAGCGTGCCAATTTTAATCTGGGATCCTTTGAGAATTGGAGAAAGATAAAGTGATTATGGAATAAGTTTTAAGTCACCACAAGGGAGTATCATTATTCTTACTATCAGGCCTGGTAACTGAAGCCAGTGTGTTTGAAACTCTAATGTCAGTGTATTTTACCAGATGAAGGCCTCCTAAGAGGAGGAATTTACAAGTGGTCCTGGAGTCATTGGTGGTGGGGATGAGTTGGAAGAGTTTGTTGAGGGTATCCTTGAGCAATGTGATAGAGGAGATTGTATAAATACAAAAGGTATCACCACCCTCTAGGCCAGAACCTTGTGTTTTGCTTCCCGATTTTGTGGGATGCTGTTACAGAGCCTTAACAATTTGAATAACAGGCCTGTTCCAAAGAAAAACTGTAGCTCCTGTAATTATTGGCACGTATTTGCACCTAAGTGGAGTTGCGGTTGGAATGGACCTGTAGTTACCATATTTAATGAGGAAAAAGTACATCTATGAACCAGGTGTATTTTAGAGGCCAACATTTCTAATTTTTTATTTGAGTTTTGTGAGTTCCGTTCTCTGTACTTACTTTTCCTCTCAGAAGCAGGTCCTCTAATCTCTTGCATGTGTACTTTCAAGTATTGAATAAAACAGCTACAGAAATCAGGTGGCCAAAATTAGTCTCCCTTTTTGAATATTGTTGGAAAATTAGGATTGCAGTTAGGGCTCTCATTGTCCATTACCAATGTCAGAGATGGCCCTGTTGTGCTGAAGTGTCTGTTAGCTGAGCTCACTGCTAAAATTACCAAGCATCACCAGACTTTGTTACCGCCTCTCACCCCAGCATGGAAACAGAGTTCTGATTCTTTTCATGTGTGGTAGTTTCCATCTGTTCATGGTGTTGAGATAGTCTCTTCTCCTACCCTCCCTGCTGAGAGCTCTGAAGGTTGCTCTTGGTCCTTTCGTTTCCTGTTGTACGTTTCTTTCCCGTAGAGTTCCGTTGAGAACCTGTGAGTTAATTTCTGACGTGCATGATACAAATATGAGTTTTGTTGGTTGTCACCACAGGAAGCAAACATTTTTTTTATTTTTCCATTCTTAAGAAATACTGACTTATGCATTGGGGAATTAAATAGTTTTCTTTCTTAGAGATAATTAAGAGCATTAACTAAACCCTCTCAGCTAAGAGAGTTAACTAAATTTGCTGAAAGGAACTAGAAACCATCTGTATAGAAAAACCACTCCTGTGTTTCTCCTTCCATCACACACACAATACTTCACTTCTGACACTCCCGGTCACTAAATGTGTGGGCTCCCCCCCACCAAGCAGTGTTGGAACAACAGCAGAGTGTCCTGCAGTTCAGTTCCATTCTGATTCTTTCTACCTAGAATTAGCATCAGATCCCACAAGTTAAGGACTTAGTCCCACAAGACTGCCCCTGCTTCAGACACTAGTTGGAAGCCTCAGGTTACCCCCAGTAATTCCGGGTTCTCATAACCTCCCTTTGATCTGTAAGTTGCTGGCAAGATTTATAGAACTCAGGGGAACACATCGTAGGTTAACAGCTTATAACATAATGAGACAATAAAGGATACGGGTGAACAGCCAGGTGAATAGGGCGAGGTTTGGAGGTACCCTGGTACAGGAGCTGTCCTTGTGCAGTGGGGTGTTCCACCACCCCAGCATGTGGGAATGTCCATGCACTCAGACGCTCTTCAAATCCTGTACGTTTGGGATTTTTATGGAGGCTTTATCATGAATGCAATATGGATTATTAACTCTACTTCCAGCTCCACTTGCCTCTCTGGAGAATGGGGGATGGGACTGAAAAATCTGAGCTTCTCATCATGGTTAGATCTTTCTGGTGATCAGTCCCCATTCAAGGGCCCACCCAAAGTCACCTCATTAAAACGAAAGATGTTCTTATCACCCAGGAAATTCCAAGGGACTTAGGAGCTTGGTGTCAGACATCCTAACACTCGATAAATTATGGATGGAGGTCGTAAGATTCTGGTCATAAGTGTCAGAATCTGGGGTCAAAGACAGTTAATATTAGAACAAAAGATGATCTGAGCACCCCTATTTATAAGGAACCTGAGGACAGATTATATATACATACATACACACACACACACACACATACACACACACACACATAAATCCTATCTAATAAAAGAGAAACATGGTAATTAGCCTACATCCGCTACCCTTCCCATTGGCTAATCAGGGCGATATGCAAATTAACTGCCAGCCAAGATGGCGGCCGGCAGCCAGGCCGCTTGAAGCTAACATGAGGCTTCCTTGCTTCAGTGATGGAGGACTCCAATGTTCCCCACCTTGCCGGCCTCTGAGCTTGCAGTTTGAAACATTGTTACAAATATAGAAGCTAAACAAAACCCCAGAAACCTGCTTTCAGCCAACCGGGATCTCAGAGCTGGAGTTGATACAGTGTTTCGATTATAGAACCCAAACAAACCAGATACCTGCTTTCAGCAGCCGAGGCCTCAGAGCTGGAGCCAGAGTTAAAGCTGGCCCAGAATAAAAAAAAAAAAGAAAAAAAGGAGCAGTTAGGAGCTTCAGTCACCCACCAGCCTGAAAACAGCCCTCAGCTCCTTACCCAGACTGGCCAGGCACTCCAGTAGGGACCCCCACCCTGAAGGGTGTGTGACCAGCTGCAAACAGCCATCATCCCTTCACCCAGGCTAGCCAGGCACCCCAGTGGGGACCCCCACCCTGAAGGGTGTGTGACCAGCTGCAAACAGCCATCATCCCCTCACCCAGGCTGTCCAGGCACCCCAGTGGGGACCCTCACCCTGATCCAGGACACCCTTCAGGGCAAACCAGCCGGCCCCCACCCGTGCACCAGGCCTCTTTCATATATAGTAAAAGGGTAATATGCCTCCCAGCACCGGGATCAGTGGAGCCGTGAGGCCTCCCAGCACCGGGATCAGTGTGACAGTGGGCAGCGCCCAAACCCCCTGATCGCCCTGCGGCTCTGTGTGTGACGGGGGCGGGGCCACAACCTCCCTATCCGCCATGCTCTGTTCATGACAGGGGAAGGCGCCCCAACCCCCTGATCATCCCTGCTCTGTGCCTGATATGGGGGAGCTCCCCAACCCCCTGATAGCCCTGCGGCTCTGTGTGTGACAGGGTGCGGCGCCCCAACCCCCTGATCGGCCCTGCTCCATGTGTGACTGGGTGCAGCGCCCCGACGCCCCCCCCACCCCCCCTCCACGGGCCCTGCTCTGTGTGTGATGGGGTAGAGCCATAACCTCCCCATCGGCCCTGCCCTGAGTATGAGAGTGGCGGCGCCCCAACCCCCTGATCGGCCCTGCTCTGTGGGTGATAGAGGGAGGTGCCCCAAACCCCCCTCCACGGGCCCTGCTCTGTGTGTGATGGGGTAGTGCCATAACCTCCCCATCGGCCCTGCCCTGAGTGTGATAGTGGCAGCATCCCAATCCCCTGATGGGCCCTGCTCTGTGGGTGACAGGGGGGAGCTCCCCAACCCCCTGATGGGCCCTGCTTTGTGTGTGACGGGGTACGGAGCCCCAACCCCCCTGATGGGTCCTGCTCTGTGCATGACAGGGGGTAGTGCCCCAACCCCCTGATGGGCCCTGCTCTGTGCGTGACAGGGGGTGGTGCCACAACCTGCCCATCGACCCTGCCTTGAGTGTGACAGGGGGCGGTGCCCCAACCCCCCAATCGGCCCTACCCTGAGCGTGACTGAGGGTTGTTGCATCACAAGCTCCCAATCCGCCCTGCTCTGTGCATGATGGGGCAGCGCCCCAACTCCCCAATCAGCCAGGCTCTGAGCCCGACCAGGGGCTGCACCTAGGGATTGGGCCTGCCCTCTGCCACCCGGGAGCAGGCCTAAGCCAGCAGGTCGTTATCTCCCGAGGGGTCCCAGACTGCGAGAGGGCACAGGCCAGGCTGAGGGACCCCCCCACCCCCCTGAGTGCACAAATTTTTGTGCACCGGGCCTCTAGTATATATATATTTAACATCATTCTTTTGAGAGAATATAATGGACTTTTAGTATAGAAATTTATAAGATGTAAAAACAGTTTACTTGGTCTACACAGGAATACAAAAGATGGTACCAACCTGGGGAAGGCTCTTACTGCATGGTGGTTGCTACCTTTGAGAATGTTGTAGTCCATGGCCTGTGTCTCAGCCTCTTAGACTTGGATTTCTTGATATGTCACATTGGTAAGAATTGGACCCATGCTTCAGGGTTGGACTCATGTTAGACTTAGTTTGAAGATGATAGCTGAAGCCTGGATGCCTGCTAAGGTATCACACAGGAAATCTCAGTCCCCCAAACCAGAATACTTGTGTTGTTAGGTTCACTAGTCAAGTTACATAGGAAGCAAAATCATATTCATGTGATGAAAAATATAACAATTATAGGCTCCAGGGCACTGGTGTTGGCCTACCCAGAATGTTTTGTTTTTGTTGGTAAACAGACAAAGTCATATGGTCTTGGTGGGGAAGGAGTCGGAAATCTGGAAATTAAAGGAATCGAATGCTATTGACATCAAGTTACTTGAGCCTGGCGTATTCATTTCTGAGTCGATAGGAGCTTCCGCAGAAGAACTGGGATACTTGGTGTCTGTTGAGGGAAGATACTCCTTGTTCCTTGGGAAGTGCTCATGCTTTCCTAAAATTATAGTACTATTGATTTATGGCATTTAAATATTAACATAACTGAACATTTATCTGCCCGTGTATCTCTGATATGCTCCAGTAAGCTAAGATCGTATCTTTTCCAGTCTCCGTTAGTTGGCACAGTTCATATAATAAGCAGATAGATGTGAAGTGTTGAGGATGCTGATTTATAGTTACACAATTAAACATATTTTTGCTATTACAGTAAACTCCCAATTCCTTGGCATATGTTAGGAATTTGGTGTTATGGTTAATTCAGTATCCTAGATTTTTAAAAAGTTGTACCTTTCATTCTTTGTTCATTTATATCAGTGAAAACGGAAGATAATTTAGTTTAGAAAACTTTTGAGTACCTTAAGTCAGTATGTTGTAGCTACATGGAAATGCCCATTAATAGATTAACATCAAAATAAAAAGAAATGGAGAAAAAGGTAGAGTTACTTTAAAAGCATTATCTCAAAAATTCTTCTATTTGGAAGAAGGAGGAAAAAGCAGACTTGGAAAAAATGTGTGTGTGATTTCAACTGATATGGGATTGGAGAGGAAGAGGGACTCAAAAAAGAAAATGGGAGGTTTTGATTATCTTTCAAAACCTACCCTATTTTTAGAAATGAAGACCCTTATCCTTCGAGGGTGGAAAACTATTTCTATGTCTTGGGTTTCTGAATAAGTAATAAATCCAAAAATATTACATTAGGTTTCCCTTGGGGAAAGATGACAAAATAGACACATGAGTTAGAAGTAGCTGTTCAGTGCAAAGTTTTTAATTTTTTTTAAATTTTCAAATGTACAGAATTCTTATCATAGGCAGTTATCTTTTTACCCTTCAGAATCTTAGACTATTTTTCAGAGTCCCTGCTTTAATTTTAAAATCAAAGCTGTGAATTGAAAATGTTTCTATATTTTTATTGCTTTCATTTTTTCCCCAGCTTTGATTTAGTAAGATCTTGGTTTTAACTCCAGATTAATAATTTGACTATAATATATCACCTAACTTTAGATAGTTGTACTTTTGTTTTCGGTGTCTAGTGTAATCCATATCTAAGTCTTTTATTATGTAGTTTGATTGTTTGTGTTCCACTTTATCTTGTGCCTTTTCATTTCTTAGCCTTTTTTTGCTTTTTTTCTCTTTAGCCACAACTGTGTCCTGTGCTGTAAAATCTCATTCCCCACTTTTAAACACTACTACCCGAAGAGTAAACTGGAGCCCCTTAATTTTGGAGGCAACTTAGCTAATCGTAAAGTTGATGGTGTGGAGCGCCTTTGAATGACAGGGAGAGATGTCCATGATATATGAAATGCAATAGGCTGTGTGCACATTCATTATTTAAAACGGGTGGAACACACGAAAGGCATTAAACTAAAATTTACTAGCTTATCTTCGGGTGATATTGATTATGGATAACTTTAATTTCAGTGAACTTTTTGTTGGTACACAGCTGAAATATGCACAGATCACAAGTGTACAGACTAATGGACGTTTGCCAAGTGAAGGTCGCCATGTAATCAGCCCCTAGATCAAGAAATACAACATTATCAGAACCCAGAAACTCTTCCTCATACCCACCATGGTTACCATCCACCCCATGCCACATGAACACTTGCCTGGCTTCTGACGTCACAAGTTAGGGTTGCTGCATTTGAACCATATACAAATGGAATCTAACAAAATATAGTCGTTTGCGTCTGGCTTCTTTGGCTCGTCTTGCGAGACTCATCCTTGGTGGGTGACTCAGTAGCTCATTCACTCTTGTAGTGCAGTATTCCATTGTATAAACATACCTCAATCTATTTACTGTTCTACTGTTGATGGCTACTTGAGGTGGTTCAGTTTTGGACTATTACCCAGAGTGCTACTGCCATGAACATTCTAGTGTGTCTCCAGCATGATCTTATCTTAATGAATGACATCTGCAAGGGCCATATTCCCCACTGAGATCACTGTGTTAAGCCCGTCTTTTTTTATTGTGATGTTTTAACATCTGGGGCTTAACTGATCCCGAGAGACTAACCTCTTGGGGCTAACCAATTCCTAAAGATAGTAAACCTGAATGTGCTTTTTCTATGCCAGCTAACCAATCCAGAGCTCATTTTCCTCCTCCCCACCCCCTCTTTTGGACTCTTAACACTCCAGCCATATTCTTCCCTAATCACCTGGGGCCAGGTACCAGACAACTGAGGACAGCCCCTATGCCCCAGAGTCCCTGAAAGAATCCAAACCAATCCTCAGCCTGCTTATCTTGCCTCTCCCGTTCCTGTGCAAAACCACAATGAAGCTTATGGCATGACATGCCTCTTTTTTCTCAGAATCTGTGAGGATAAACTTCCTTGATGACAGTCATTTCAATGCCTGCACGTCTCACCATACCTGATTAAAACAAATCCCGGCTGTGTTTTAAAACAGTCACATCTGAGACATGGGGGCGGGTGGGGGGGGGCGGGGGGCGGTGGTAAATGTCAACATAAGTTGTGGGGGATGAAATTCAACCCATAAGAGGGAAGAGTTTATTTGCTGATATTTTATTTGCATCCCATTGTGGGCAGGACAGGGTGACTAGACCCCTTCAAGTGAGCGATGAGCACACTGTGAGTGCAGCGTGCCAGGGGACAAGCTGGGCTGGCTGTTCTAGTGTCAGCCGGGAGGAAGGCAGGAAAGCCCCCACCCCACCAGGGAGGCGGAGAAGTTCAGAATAGGGAAGAGAGAGAGATTTTCTTTTCCTTTGAAAGGTGGCAAAACATGTTTAATTTCTCTGAAGATGTTGAACTGGTGAGATATTGCATGTATTGACTTTTAGGAATATATTTGATTCCGAATACACTACTAACTATTCTTTTTCCTTTTTAAAGAAAGTGGGAGTCCAGAATCTCGTGTGAATGCTATCCATTTCTTGGTGCATAAACTTCCAGAGAAGAATAAAGAGATGTTGGACATTTTGGTGAAACACTTAACAAAGTAAGCCTCTTTTCCTTCCTAACGTTTTGCTTGGGTGTTGTGGGGTGTTCTTGCCTTTGTAATGGTCAGAATTGGGGCTGTATACACAATACCAGGGGCCACACCTTGAAGGGCAGGCTGGACATCTGACTCCTTGTGTGTGTTTTGGACAAGACTGTTGAAACACGATGCTTTCATGAAGTCGTGTAATTATTTGCTTAACATCACTGCCAACAACTTGGGGTTTGATTTGAAGTAGAAGAAGAGAATATTATACACTTCCCTGCACACTGATTCTGGAAATGTGATTATTAGTCTGTTAGCAAATTTAGCCTGGTTTCACACCTACCTAACTCTGACTTTGAACATGCCCTTTAAGATTGTTTAATCCAGGAGTAGGTAGGTATTTCATAGGATCCATTCTATTCTTTTTATTCCCTCTTTAAAAAAGCAAGCAAAATCTAATAATCCAGTAGAGAAGTTAGCTCTTTTTTTAAATATATAACTCCTTGATCACTATATTTATGGAGTTTTTGAGGGGGGAAGAAACTAAGGAGCACTATGTTTTAGAACCCTTGTTTCACAGAAAAAGGAACTGAAGGCCAGAGGATATTATGACCTGTGTAGAGTCCTAGTATTAGTATAGCCATTTATTCATTTGGCCAACAAATAGTTGTTAGTAAATGCCCTTTTTATTTTTTTTATTAATCCTCACCTGAGGATATTTTTCCATTGATTTTTAGAGAAACTGAAAGGAAGAGGGGTTGGGAGGAGAAACACAGAGAGAGGGAAACATCAATGTGAGAGAGACACATTGATTGGTTGCCTCCTGCAGCCGCCCCTAGCATGCAACCTAGGTATGTGCCCTTGACTGGAATTGAACCGGGGGCCCTTCAGTCCTCAGGCTGACACTCTATTGACCCAAACCATCTAGGGTTGACCTTTCTTAGGTGCTAGTAGACACATAGTTGAACAGGATACTTTCAGGAAGTTCTGTTTTTCTAAGGGGAAAAGACAGCAAACAGAATACAAATAAAAATATAAAATAAATTGAGGTGATGAGTGGTCAAAAGGAAAAAAGGAGAGGGAGGAGAGAATATATGTTGGGTGTGGGACTACAAAGAGGGTTATTATGGAAAGTCTCTTTGAGGATGAGACCTTGGAGTTGCTGAGAACAGTTGTCTAGTTTGTTCCCAGGACTTGGGTGCTCTGTCCAAGTCCTATGTGCTTGTGAAGGTAATTCTGCCAAGTCACATTGTCCCTGGGAACAAGAGTTCAGTAATCTGGGGACAGAGAAGGTGCTCTAAGTAGAGGGGAACAGTAAATGAAGGCCTCTGAGGGACACAAGCTTGGCGTGTGGATGGAGTTATTAAGCCAGCCTCTGTGTCTAGAGCGGAGAGTATCAGAGAGAAGCAGAGAGGTAGGCAGGGGCCTCATGATGTGTGGTCTTGTTGGAGGATCCTGTTATTTCAGAGGCAGACGTTGAGGATAGTTGAGTCCTGGTGTTTAGGGAAATATCTTGCAGAATACTGTACATTCCACAGTTTTTGCTCACCTTCTAACCAGAGACCTTTCTTTCTGCCCTCATCAACGTTAGTGTTTCAAACCACTCCAAGCAGAACCTGATGACCGTGGCAAATTTGGGAGTGGTGTTTGGACCAACTCTGATGAGGCCACAGGAAGAAACTGTTGCTGCCATCATGGACTTGAAGTTCCAGAACATTGTTGTGGAAATCTTAATTGAAAACCATGAAAAGGTAAAACCATATTAATATTTTTTCCTTAAAGGAATTGCTGTATTTGGCTTGTCAATTTGTGATGTAAAAGTATTTCCTTCTTTCTCTTTTTAAATTTGTCATGATGATGAGCTTGGTTCTGAGAAATTTGCATTGAGCTTCTCTCTTCTGATGGAGCTTCATAAATCGGGAGCCTGCTGGGTCTTCTGTTATCTAACTGGCTTAAGGAGGAAATATTTAACACCGTTGCAAATGGATATTGGCCCTGCAGTTGTGACTGTTCAGGGTTCTTTTTTTCTATTTTTATTTTTTCCTTTCCTGCCTTCATTCCTATCTCAAATTCTAGTTCCATGACACAAGGATAATATTTTTGTTGATCTGTGTCACACTCTCCCCAGAGATGCGCACATAACTCCCCTCTACCCCAAGCATGTTCACAATTTCAGGGGGTTCACATGTATCTCCGAATCTGGGGAACCCCAGGTTAAGAATCTCTAATTTAAAAGGAATAATCTCTTAGGTGACTCAGCTTGTTACTTGTTCTATATAATCAAGGGGAATACATGCTTTTTCAAAATACAATAGACTCTTTCAAGGACCTTTAGACTTCTTTTTCTCATTCTGTCACTTACAGATCAGGACCTTGCTGATCATTTTTCCTCCAAGACAACTGTTAAAATTCTTGCTTATTCATTTGTTCATTAAAAGTTTTTAGAAAATTTGACATTGCATTATATGCCAAGCATGTATTCGGTGCGGGGATGCGAAGAGGAACATCACAGCCCTTGATGGAAAGCAGGTCACAGTCTGGGGTTGGGAAGCCTGTTTAAGGGCTTGTATCCTATGGCATCATCCCTGTCTAACATACTATATAATTCACTTACCTATTTCCTTAGTTGTTATCTATTTCTCCCTGCTCGATCCTGAGGGCAGAGATCTTTTTTGTACACTTAGAATAAAACTGGTACATATCTGAAGCTCAGTTCATATTTATTGGATTAATTCATGAGCTCAATAAATTTCGAGGGGGTTAGAAAAGTGGGAAAGGGGCGATCAGACAGAGGTGTGGCCCCTCGGAGCAGAGCATTGAAGGAGCATTTCTTGGGTCCTTGTTGCATTTGCTCTTTGCTAAAACAAGTCTAGCTTGTGCTAGTGTTGGTTCCCACTGAAAAGCTTGAAAGCTGGTCACAGGTAAAGCTGGTTACCAGCATAGTAAAAGCAACGTGTTTATGGGAAGTTAGTGCGGTGAGTGTGTGTGTGTGTGGTTAGTAGCTAATGGTGAATTTATGTCTCCTTTTATGTTCCTGTCAAACTGTCCTTGAACCTCATTAGTGTGCACTCAGCTATCCAGACAGCTTCATGGAATGGTGGCTACTGTTCAGTTTTTGAAAAAGAAATAATTGGACTACAGGCTTTACAACAGTGTTTAGTAATGCGACTATCATTAGATCGACTCCCAATTAGGAAACTTTCATCCCATTTGTTTGAGAAAACACTGGCCCTGGACTTGCTCTCAGATAGAAGAATCTCCGTGGAGTGCTATGGCTTCCTATTTTCTTGTCTCATTTGAAGCTGGGAAGATAAGTGCATGATTCTTCTGCTGGGAAGTAGACAGTGCAGGTTCCACCTTGTTAACAAATCTACGAGGAATTTCCAAGTGGTTGCTGAGCCAATGATAATAGCTACAACAGATGAAACCAGACCCATTCTCAGAGATGGAGCTTTGCACAGCTAAGTAGAGAGAGGGTTTTCAGTTTCCCCCTCTCCCGTTCTGTGGCCAGGCTAGATAATGCTATGGATACACAACCTGTACAATTGAAGCACTGAGGTTTCCTACCAAGAAGGTAGGCAGGGGGATACTGAGTTTCAGATTATTTGCTGAGTGCATGGGGTTAGGGTGGAAACACAGAGTTGCTTGGTGTGCAGGGAGGCAAGAGCAGTTCGCTGGATTAGTTACTATTTCTGAGAAAGTAGTTCCCCATAATATCATCTTTCTTCTCCAGTTTCATCCTTGTCTCGTTTCATTCTTACTCCCAGCTCTTTATCCTGCTTGGCTGGGCTTCACTTGAGAGTTGAGGCTCTGCGAGGAGGAGGAATATTTTTGCTGACGAGGGTGGTCGTGCAGGAGAACTTCATATGGATGTCTGTACCCATGTGAGCCACAGGTTGCCTTGACAACAGATGCCACCCAAAGCCTTGAACATGGTGTGGGAGAGCTAGAGATTCTTGTAGTATATGATTGAGAATGAAAAGAAAGAGAGGAGGTAAGGATAGGGGAGGTAAAAAAGAATTGTCTAGCGAGGAAGGAAAAAGTTCTAATACAGAAAGGAAGGGAAACTAGAAAGGAAATGGAGAGACCCAGGTAGTGTCTATGAAGGAAAAATAATGGAAAGATGTATTCTTTTCCTGTCATGTTTACTCCGTTGGAATGTGAAAAATGTTGACTGACTAGGAAAGTCACTAAAGTAGAAGAAGAAACTTTCAACATGTAATGAAAGCAAGACAGATTTGGCTTCATTTTGGAGTTAGAAAAGGACCCCTAGTGAATCTGCTTTGGAGATCACATTTAATTCCAGCCTCTTTGCCGTTTTCATAAAATTCATATGGACTTTATAGGAAACTTAACCCATATGTTTTGGCTTCATTTCCACATAATACATGAAGATGTTGTTTTAAAAGGTGTGTTTGTGGGCCAAAAATATTATCAAGGTCTTCTCTTCCCTTGTAAACCAGAAAATTGTATTTCCCAGGTGGAAAGGGGTACTGGGAAATTCACAAGGAATTTCAAGCGAGGGTTGTGCCTTAGAATTTGTGAACTGTGCATGCATTTTGTCCTCAAAGTGTACGTGTTATGGATTCGTTCAGTACAGTGCCAGCTTTGAGTCAGCCATGAGCTTTGGGGGAAGGAGGACCATGAGTCCAGTAGGGGAAAGAAGAAATGTCCAACAGTAACTCCAAGAGATGGCAGAGAATAAGAGTAGAGAGACAGAGAGAAGCTGAATAGACTTTCGATGGATTCCATCCCGGTGTGGGGGATTGGAAAGTGTCTTGAATAATGGTGTGTTGTTTTGGAATGAAGTTAGAATAGGTGGAGGTATTTTAAGAGGACATTTCAGGTACGGGGGGATCATGTAATCAGAAAAGCACAGAAAGTGGGTGTTTGTTCTGCAAAAGTGGCTCCTGTTGGAACCTGGGTGAGTGGTGCGGGGTGAGACTGGAGAGTCAGGCCAGGTGCAGGGAGGTTGAGAATGCCACCCAAGGATGTTTGGGCTTAGTTTTATAGGGACCAGGGCCTCTCGTGGTTTTCAGGTCACCTGCTTCAGGAAGCTTAGTTTGGCAGCAAGGTTTGCGGTAGGAAGTAGAGGAATAAAAGACCAGGAGGCATCACATGGTGCAGATTAAGGCCCAGTGTGAGAGCGGGAGTTACAGCTGGAGAGCATCATTCTGTGAGGGGGACCAGTCAGCATCCAGGGCCTGGATTTGTGGGGCTTCTCAGAGGACGGACTTTTAAGTGATGCTGAGGACTCGATCCGGGGGAGTATTAGTGCCATTAATAATAATAGGAAAGAAAAAATGGGTACGAGTGAGTTCACTTTATAAGAAGCTGAATTTTAGTTGTGGTCTGATGTCCAGCAGACAGTTGGAGGCATGGGGCTCAGCCTTGTGAGAATTTAGTGGTAGAAAGTGTAACATAAAAATAAAGAGACATGAGATTGACATGTGAGAGTATTAATGGATGTTCATTGCATTATATACTTTTAATCTAATACATAGTGTTTATCTCACATGCATATAAATACACACTTAAAAAATATATTTAAAAATATATATTAAAATATATACAATTCCCATGGCACATATGTTTCACAGTATTTTTATGTACGTACAACGTTCTTATTACATGTGTTATCCTTTTATGCATATGAGACGACTGAAGGGTGAGAGATTAACTTGTTCACAGGCACATAGCTAGTAAGTGGAAATGCCTGTGTTGGAACTAAGAGTTGTTGCACCCCAAAGTCTTTGCTTTCCATCACTAGAAGGTAAGAATAATATACTTTAGAAACATCGAGATTTTACTATTAAAAGTGGAGCCAGAAGCAACGCAGGCAAGTTCACTGTCAGGTTGTTGAGGGACATTGTCAGTGATGCCAGATGTTGTCACGGGATGGGAGGATCTGAGGACTGGGAGATGGCACATGTTCTTTCCAAGAGTGAAATGTCTGCAGAGAGCCAAGGGCTGAAGTCAACTTTGAAGGGCTTCAGTGAGTGTTAAGGACTGGGCAGTAATGAGTCTAGATCAGCGGTTCTCAACCTGTGGGTCGCGACCCCTTTGGCGGTCAAACGACCCTTTCACAGGGGTCGCCTAAGACCATCCTGCATATCAGATATTTACATTACGATTCATAACAGTAGCAACATTACAGTTATGAAGTAGCAACGAAAATAATTTTGTGGTTGGTCACAACATGAGGAACTGTATTTAAAGGGCCAGAAGGTTGAGAACCACTGGTCTAGATGCTTTTCCCCCATATGACAGAAAAATATTCAGGAAAAAGAGTCAGAATCGACGCGATAGGGAAGGAAGAACAGAGTAGGACATGAGTTGCATATAGCTTGCTAATCTCATATTCGAATGACCTGTTAGCTGATAGCTATAAAGTGTCACTTCCCCAGTCCATGAAGGCCCTTGAAAATTCCATGAACATTTGCGAAATATCAAGGAATCATTAATATCAGGGTCATTTTCTTTTAATATCTGCCTTATGTCAATACTTAAATTGGCAGTTTATATAAAGTAAGGCATACAATGTTCCCAACCAAATCGCTTTATGTAATACACATAATAATATAATTACAATCCAGATTATATTTATTTTCAGTGCACTATGCCATATGTGGAATTCTGGGATGATCTTAGCTTTGAATGGTCTTCGGTACGTTCTGATATCATTGATTGTCTGAGGGCCTGTGGGTCATATGTTTTCTAGCCTTTATTACAGTGTCTGTGGGCCACAAGG